ACCACAGGGCAACGTGTAAAGCAATGGCATATTTTCCCAGTAGATGACAATGTTGCTGTGTGTGATCCCAAACGAGTAATTTGCAGATCGTGTTTGAGCATTGGGATGTTTGGCCAATACCAGTGACAATGTGTGGTGTTTTTTTGGCTCAGGGAGGAAACCGGAGAATCCGAACGAAACCCATTGCAGAATAGGTGGAGAACATACAAACGCAACAGAATGGTGCCCAAGTGAGGAATCAAACGCAGGACCTTCTTGCTCTGAGGCACAAGTGTTGCCACTGTGCCACCCTGCTGCCATATTAGCTCTGGACTAATGTAAATATTGGTAAGAACAGCATAATCTATGTTAATAATACACTCCGTATAAATGTAAGCACATCAGACCGTATTGATCCACTGATGGATTAACGTTTCACCTTCTTTCACTAATGTGTGTACACTTTTCTCCAATACTGGATCCATATCACGCTTGCATATTGGAATAATGTCCTTCCGATCGATAGGAATAGCCATCAACTGGAAAAATAGTGCAGATTGAGACGAAATATCAAACACACTTAACGTGAATTATGAGCTGCGTTTACACCACAGGACTATGTGGGGAAATCACCATCATAATACCGAGTGCATCTTTTGTAGGAGTGTATGTGCTTATCAGTACAATCTTAGCCACCGGTGCCACCAGTGGCCATCCTGCAGACTGGTCCTTGCCTTTGGAATGTGGAATTACCACCACTGGCTCAGGGCCACCGAGAAGAGTTGAGTTATGCCCTCTTGCTCATTTAACAGGGAGGCATTTGACTCGACACTTTAACATTATGTAAAATGGTTTTGAAGTGCGGTGAAAATAAAAAAAAATCATCACAATGGTACAACCATATGTAAACTAGTTCTAATGCTGACTGGTTACATCTTTAGTGCGAATCATCAGAGTAGTACAACCCTGCTATCCTACTGGAACTTTGTGTAACCCACAGCTGTTTTCAGGAACTGCCCTTGGCACACACTGTGAGACCTTCGTAAAGAAAGGAATTAGCACAACCTAAAGGCCTGTAAAACAAGACTACATCCTCTCCCATCACTACACCCCGCTCCTAAACACCAGCCTTGAAAAGGCTTTTATTGAGGCTGTTAAGGAGGATGCCTGGCAGTGTGTGGGCCGGTTGCTTTCTGTGGCAGCCATAAAACACAATCTGTACATGTCGCGGACAGTGCAGTGATGATGGCTAATAAGGACAAAACGAGTAAAGAATGAGTGTTGGTTTACTACCAACACTTACAGGCTACATACACTACACACACACAAACACCACAGACACCACACAGGGTAATCTACATTTTACCATGATGCCCTGTGACCCAGCTGTATACTTTTGGTGCCTATTTACTTGCATATTTCTCTGCATTCATGAGTGGCTTCTTCGTCGCTTTAGTATATTTTGATTGAACGTGTTTGTGAAACACCTTGCCCACACGCTGGCTGGCTGTATACATTTGGTTAAGACCAACACACAATCGCTTCAGAATATAGGTCAGTTAATTGTTGCTGCAAATCATTATCTCTCCCCAGTTATTACATCACAATTGTATATGCTCTGAAAAATCAAATCCTACATAGTCTTTAAAGAGTATACATACAACTCAAAGAATTGCCTATGCAAAATAGTGTGTGCTCAGATGTATAAATAAAATCTCTTAACATTACATGAATCGTGGTCACCAGAAAAAAAAGCACGGAGTGAAATTAATCTCCTGAGCCAACGGGAGAAACTCCACATTCCTGAGTGTGTGACAGGATAAACACTGCGATGTCTCCCCACAAAGTAGTATACCTCTATCAGCTCCATAAAGATGATGGGCCCAATCGACCCCCACCAGGATTTGAACTCTTGACTTTTCCATTGCAAAGTGTGAGCCCCAACCACTGTGCCACCTGGCTGGTTTTGTACAGGGATAGAGGGTCCAGCCCCAAAAGGCACAGAGGGCCACTGCCCCAAAAGGCACAGAGGGCCACTGCCCCAACAGGGACAGAGGGCCACTGCCCCAACAGGGACAGAGGGCCACTGCCCCAACAGGGACAGAGGGCCACTGCCCCAACAGGGACAGAGGGCCACTGCCCCAACAGGGACAGAGGGCCACTGCCCCAACAGGGACAGAGGGCCACTGCCCCAACAGGGACAGAGGGCCACTGCCCCAACAGGGACAGAGGGCCACTGCCCCAACAGGGACAGAGGGCCACTGCCCCAACAGGGACAGAGGGCCACTGCCCCAACAGGGACAGAGGGCCACTGCCCCAACAGGGACAGAGGGCCACTGCCCCAACAGGGACAGAGGGCCACTGCCCCAACAGGGACAGAGGGCCACTGCCCCAACAGGGACAGAGGGCCACTGCCCCAACAGGGACAGAGGGCCACTGCCCCAACAGGGACAGAGGGCCACTGCCCCAACAGGGACAGAGGGCCACTGCCCCAACAGGGACAGAGGGCCACTGCCCCAACAGGGACATAGGGATTGGCCTCAGCAGTGATCGCACGCCACAACAGGCCTGCATTTTTTCAAGAGGTGTAAGGGCAGATCGTGACAGAGCTAACGCAGTGGCGCCTTCTCACAACGTTTAATTTAAACAAGGCTCTATGAACTGCAAAACTGCGTTCAATTGAAGAGATGAGTGTCTAAACACAAAAAACCCATATCAGTCCATCGGCCTTATGTACCAATGACTTGCAGGAGCATTGTTTAAGCAGGACACCTTGGACTCGTTTCAACGTAGCCCCTCTAATCCCTACGTTTGTTACCCAAAGTCCTCCACGACGGCACAATCAGCTGGGTACAATTTTTTCGTGCTGTGCTTAACAGGCCCAATGGTGGCCATTCACGACTCCTGCTGATAACTCGCAACTCAGCAGAAACCGTGCGACATGACCGACTCTGCTGATGAGACTCAGAGTTGAAATTGCAAGAGTTACGTGTAAAAGTTGTCCATTACATTAAAAATTTAACAATGACTACGTTATCCTGTGCTGTAAGTGTATCAAGCACTGGAAATGCTGAACATGACCACACTGAGTTGATGCCTTCATGTGACCGGCTCTACCCGTGGCTTGAGGACAATGACCTCGGTAACTTCAGACTCTGCATGAGACAGCACTGGCAGAAGCTAAGGCTGAGAATTTAAGTTCGTGAAGCTGATTAAGCAGCTGCTACTGCTGCTGCGTCCAACTGCATGTGTGCTTGCGCGCGTACAAATGAGCGTGGTAGCGCGTGTAGTCGCCGAGTGACGGGAGCGGGTCGCCATAAAAGTGTTTGCAGACGAAACGGTGCGGGCTGCTTCACCTTAAGTGTCCGACTAAAGTGACCAATCCCGAGTCACCTCAAATGGAACATCAATTGCCGAGCGAGCACAGACGCAGGCAAGAGTTCACCGCCGGGGTAACTCCTAGCTTGGGGCCACGCGCGGACCACCCTGGGGTGCCTGTGAGAAGCCGCTGTCGCTGACGGTGATTGCGTGACAGCAGCGCGACTGGGCACGAGTCGCCGAAGAGCCAGCAACCAGACAGCAGCACAGGCCCATAACGGTGGTAACGGACAGATGGCCGAAACGAAACAAGCTCACAGCCGCCCCCTCATTCACAACGTGCTTGACCCGAGCCACCACCCTAATCCTCAATGAATTCGCCCATTGTCTAGACCTGGCTAAACCAAAGCCGAGTCCCGGAACCAAACGCTCGTCATAACTCAGAACCAAAAGTAGTCCACAACCATTAATGAGCCAAAAACGAAGCCGCACATTTAATGAAATGACCATTTTAGTGTTCGGCTGAACCGAGCACGAACCACAACAGACGAAACATGAGTCTCAGATCCTACATCACTCAAAGAGATTCAAGCACCCATTCATCTCGATGAAGCGCTACTGACGGATTCGTCTCAAAAGGCGGTAAAGTTTGGAGATAAAAACTCATCGCCGTTGGCCACGGCCGGGTGAACGTCTCCAGTGGGGTACATCTCGGACGCTGCTCGCGTGGCCCAAATGTTGAAGTGGGGCAGCAGCGACACGCGGGCTGGCAGGCTGCTCGGAGCAGATAGGCCAGGCAGGTGAGGGTAGGGCAGATGAGGCAGGATCCGGTGAGAATAGGGCAGGTGAGAATAGGGCAGCGAGGCAGGGTGAGGTAAGGCAGGTGCGGTGAGGGCACGCCAGGCTGGGTGAGGTCGCGTCGAAGCGCCCCAGGTCAGGCCGGGCAGCGGCACTCGGCCGCGCCTGCGGGGTGAGGAGGCAGCGCGACGCCACGAGACCGGGAACCACCGCTCAGTCGCTCGGCTCACACGGGTCCCCGCTCACAGTCGCTAGGGTCCCCGCTCACAGTCGCTAAGGTCGGTAGGTCCGCTCGGTTCCCCGCTTACAGTCGCTCGGCTCGCTAGCGTCGCTCGGATCCCCGCTCACAGTCGCTAGGGTCCCCGCTCACAGTCGCTCGGATCCCCGCTCACAGTCGCTAGGGTCCCCGCTTACAGTCGCTAGGGTCCCCGCTTACAGTCGCTAGGGTCCCCGCTTACAGTCGCTAGGGTCCCCGCTAACAGTCGCTAGGGTCCCCGCTTACAGTCGCTAGGGTCCCCGCTAACAGTCGCTAGGGTCCCCGCTTACAGTCGCTAGGGTCCCCGCTAACAGTCGCTAGGGTCCCCGCTAACAGTCGCTAGGGTCCCCGCTTACAGTCGCTAGGGTCCCCGCTTACAGTCGCTAGGGTCCCCGCTTACAGTCGCTAGGGTCCCCGCTTACAGTCGCTAGGGTCCCCGCTAACAGTCGCTAGGGTCCCCGCTCATAGTCGCTCGGCTCACACGGGTCCCCGCTCACAGTCGCTCGGCTCACACGGGTCCTCGCTTAAAGACGCTAGGGTCGGTTGCTCCCCTAGCGTCCACGCTCAAGAGTGGCTGGGTCACTAGGGTCGCTCGGGTCGCTCGGATCCCCGCTCAGGGTAGCTCGACTCGCTCGGTCCGCTCGGTCACCTGGGGTCGCGCAGCGAAGAGGAGCGACGGCAGAGGGGCGTCCGAGCAGCGGCGGTTCCTGCTGCGTGGCGACTGCGGTGGGTGCGGCGAATGTATCGGCCTTGCAGGGGGTGAGAGTGCAGCGAGCGAGCCGCGTCTGCCGCCACCGCTCTCCTCTTTCTCGACGGCGCTGCCGCTGAGGACGCGACAGCCGAGTCCCGGCTCCTCTCTCCCCGAGGCCTCCACTACGGGTGACGTCACCGCGCTACGGCGAGCCGAGCGCGTTTGTAAAACGAGGCGGCGATTGCACGAGGGGGGAGGGGCGCTGGAGAGCGGGGGGGGCCTGACCCGAACCCCTCCCCCAATCCTAATCCTATTAACCAGATTAAAAAAACATCATTAAATAATTAATCAGACATTCCGCCTCCTTCCTATATCTGTCCTGCCGCATAATAAACGGAAGTATATATTTTTTCACATCCCATTAAGGCACACAATCTTCTGAGAGTGCATAATTTCAGCAGCATTGCTGCGGTTCATGCAAAACCTGCAGCAGTTTCGACACGCGGTATCTCATGAGCAGCAGAGCCAGACTCGCTAGAGCCAATCACGTCGACCACTGTCCCACCAAACCCCCGTCTACCAAACCCAACAAGGGATTGGTGGGACAATGTTCGACCTGATTGGAGACTGGGGGTTGATCCAAGGCCTCTGCGCAGGAGGAATGTGTTCTGAGCCCTGTGCCATTGTGCTCCCAGATTGCGCAGTAGCGATTGAATTTGAAACGAAAACACAAAGCGCAGCGGTGGGAAAAGTTGTGCTTCAGACTAAACTCGTGCACTTGTGGCTGTGTAGGGAATGACTCATCTCGGTTTTATTTTGTTCTTATTATAACTTGTTATTGCTTGACATCATGCTGCATTGTTTTGTTATCCGATGTCCTTTCACTCGCAAGGGGGTGCAGGACGTGTTCACTCGCTATCGACATCGTTATCGTGGCCAATGACTTGACCCATACACTCAAGTGGCCTCGAGTGATGGGCGAGCATGAGACACTCTCCTAGGGTAGTTGGGGCGTCATCGCCGTGCGTCGCGTGCCAAGCGGTGCCACTCTGCTACCACCACAGTGTGCGGTGCCACTCTGTTACCACCACAGTGTAGGGTGCCACTCTGTTACCACAACAGTGTGTGGTGCCACCCTGCTACCACCACAGTGTGGGGTGCCACTCTGCTACCACCACAGTGTGGGGTGCCACTCTGCTACCACCACAGTGTGCGGTGCCACTCTGTTACCACCACAGTGTGGGGTGCCACTCTGCTACCACCACAGTGTGCGGTGCCACTCTGCTACCACCACAGTGTGCGGTGCCACTCTGCTACCACCACAGTGTGGGGTGCCACCCTGCTACCACCACAGTGTGGGGTGCCACCCTGCTACCACCACAGTGTGCGGTGCCACTCTGTTACCACCACAGTGTGGGGTGCCACTCTGCTACCACCACAGTGTGCGGTGCCACTCTGCTACCACCACAGTGTGCGGTGCCACTCTGCTACCACCACAGTGTGGGGTGCCACCCTGCTACCACCACAGTGTGGGGTGCCACTCTGCTACCACCACAGTGTGGGGTGCCACCCTGCTACCACCACAGTGTGGGGTGCCACCCTGCTACCACCACAGTGTGGGGTGCCACTCTGCTACCACCACAGTGTGCGGTGCCACCCTACCACCACAGTGTGGGGTGCCACTCTGCTACCACCAGTGTGCGGTGCCACCCTGCTACCACCACAGTGTGGGGTGCCACCCTGCTACCACCACAGTGTGCGCTGCCACTCTGCTACCACCACAGTGTGCGGTGCCACTCTGCTACCACCACAGTGCCCCCCCCCCCAGCCCTCCTCACGCCGCAGCCCGGCCATGCCCCATCACTCACTCTCTCTCCCCATGGGCTCGCTCCTACTCGGGTCTCCTCTTGCTCATCAAACTCTATTAATGATGAGAGTTTATACATTGTGGGAGGGAAACAGATGGGGGGAGGGGCCGTGTGAGTGTCCCCACGGGGCTTGGGTGGCACTGGCAGCAGCCCCGGCAGGCACGCGGCGGCTGCCTGCCCAGCTCCAAGTGCCACCTCCGTCGCCACCAATGGCTCGGTATTCATTCATTAGTGGTAGGCATTCATGAGATGTTGTTTGGGGGGTTCGAGGGGTCGCGTTACGGTCGCTGCTCGCCGTGGGGTGGGTGGTGGTGCGCGCGTGATTGAAGAATGGAGCAGGTGACTGCCCTAGGGGCTGGGTGGGGCTCAGAAGCTGGGCATGAGTGCTTTGTGTGTGGGGGGCGACAAGGGCGAGTCTGTGAACACACGATGCTTTAAAGTCCAGTCTCCTACTCTTATCCACTCAATCTCTCTGGCTTCTACACCTATATCCTATGAAGGACCGTTGCCTGAAACTTTGCCCATTATACAGTTTTCCTATAAAGGCCACGAACGGTGTTATTGACGAATGTGTTTATATTAAAGTAAAGTCACGTAGATAGGTTCAAAGAAAATAACAAAAAACTACCACGTTTCGATCGCGACACAAGCGGTCGTCATCAGGCAAAGGGGGGTTAGCGTCTAAAAGGAAATGTTTATAAAGGTTTGAAATGGGCGTAGCCAAAATGTCATCAGCCAATGAGAATATAAGTGGTGGACAGCAACTGCGGCGGTGGTGAGTTTTCCACCAATCAAAGGGCTGCCAGGTAAAAATAGTTTAGTTTAGTTTACAATTATTTATCCTTGTACACCACTGTGAACGCAGCAGCGTCCACAAATAAATGGGGTAATCGTGAACACACGGTCCTCGTTAACCAAAATCACTCATTTAAACAATCCATGAAACACTTTAATGGCTATCACATTGTGGGGAGGTCTTCATCCAGCAGTGGGTGACACTTGGTTCTGAATGAATGTTGTATGTTTAAATCCGACAGAGATACCACGTGTCACGAACAAAATAGCAAGTGGACATTGCCTCTTTCCCACATCAGTCTCTTCACGTAAAATATAACGGCATTTTCTCCACATCTCATCAGTCACACGAAGTGCTCAATGTCAGCAACATTGGTTCAGCACAAGCGAACATTCGCAACGGTTTCGACACGCAGTGTCTCATCAGCAGAGTTAGCCTTGCTTGAATTGACACTGGTGAACCGCCTAATGTTATAGCCTTTCTGTTAGATAGGGGTCTAAGTATGACACAGAACTCTGTCATACATAACACAGAATACTCATTGGTGTCCTTGTGGATAATATAAGCAACAAAATGCGTGGCAGCTCTGGTTGAAGTCGATTCCACGTGGCAGCAGTGAACAGGCGCTGCAGGAAAGCACCACTCATGGCAACATTCTCCAGCACAACGCGCTGTGGGTAAGGCCAGGGGCAGGACGGGATTTGTCAGGTATATTGTGAGTTTAATTAACAGGTTACATAAGGCATGAATCAAGCAGTCGGAACAGGCAGTGAGATTAAACATGGGTTTACCATCGTAAAGGGAGGTCGTCAAGGACGTGTGTCGTCACCTAACATTTTCAACGGCTACGGAGAAGACGTTGAGAGCCGTGCAAGAGGAGTTTGAGTAATTTCCTGGCATCTTCTTTGGTTCTTTCGGTAAAGTCACGTAGAATGAGAATAAAATAATAAATTGATAAAATAAAATAACACAATAATATTCTCACGACGTTTCGGCCAAGCGGCCTTCATCAGGTGATGAAGGCCGCTTGGCCGAAACGTCGTGAGAATATTATTGTGTTATTTTATTTTATCAATTTATTATTTTATTCTCATTCTACGTGACTTTACCGAAAGAACCAAAGAAGATGAATCATTGCAGTCACGAAAGCTTTAAATCGAAATTTCCTGGCAGTTCGTCCCTGCGCTTCTGCACGTGCGCTGCAAGGCCCTCTTCTCGCCTCAGCCCATCGCAGATTACGCGGAGCAAACCCAAGGGGAAACAGCTGGGCCTTGCACAATGGTGCATTCAGTGGCCAAAGCGAGCTCAGCGCCAAAGGAGGTTGCTCAGCGTCGCGTCCACGGTCGGACTTGGCCCAGAGCAGCGGCCCTGCCGAGCAGCATCGCCGCGGGAGACGGGGGGCTCTCTGCCAGGGCGGGGATCCCGCGGGGGTCTCTGTCGTGATGAATCTGCCTCCCTGCTACCTAGGGGCTGCAGACAGGGTCGGATTAACCCAGAGGTTAATGCGGCGATTGCCTCAGGCCCCCATATTTCGTATTCCCTCCATTCCACGTTGCGGTAACAGCTGAACGACGGTAGTGCGGCCATCAAAACATGTTGTCTTTGTATTACGATGACACCATTCGTGACTTTTCCACAGCTGAAGTTAAGGGAACATTTTGTTTGAAGAAATGCGTGTTTTAAGTGATTTGTTTGATGAATTTACCTTGAGTCAAATACATTTGTAAATGTTATATCGGTAATAAATGTTTGATGACTTCGTTTTTTTTTCAATATGTAATACATATTTAGGCCCTTACCTCCTCTCAGCCTTTGGCCCGTCATAACCTAAATGCGGCCCTGGCTGCAGGTAGCGCTTACCAAACACCGCGAGACCCATAGCTCCTCTGTCACTAGATCGTTATGCAGAATGCTGCACTCAACAACAGCTGACAGCAGACGCGAGGTGCAGAGAGCAGGCTGCTGCTTGCGATGGGATCTCGCCATGCTGTGCGTATCCGCGAAAGCCTACGTGTTAAACGTGACTTTACCGAAAGAACCATAAGATAACACATCAGACAACAAACAAGAGAGAATAAACGGGACACGCCGCATCTTTGATTCAAATAGTGCCCTCTTGAAATGTGAAACCTGATGGCATGGCTGGGGTGGATTCTTTTTCAGTGCCACTTCTCAGTGCTAAACGCGTGTCAAACAATTCCCAGGCTGCGTGGTGGCAGTGGAGGTGGTGTGTGTTGAACTTCTTTCGCACCACACGTAGCCAACCGTGCTAATCGGACGGCCGACGAGGAGTGAGGAATGTGTCCGTGCCAGCGTGTCCGCAGCGCGCGGGAATAAACATACGGGGCGGAGGGTACATGGAGCGCTGAAGAATGCAGCAAGAGAGTGCAGCAGCAGCAGTCCCGTTCCACGCAAGGTCTCCCATCTCTGTCAACATCTCGCAACGCCTTCCGCCCCATCCCTCACCGTTACCGGCACCCGGCGCGGAATGTCCCCGCCGTGGTGCTCGGTGACCCCGAGAGAGGCCCCCGCGCTCCCACCCACCCCTGGGCGCTGGGTTGGTGGTGGCGCAGTGGTGGCACAACACTCGCGCCTCACAGCAAGAAGCTCCTGGGTTCGAACCACCGACTGTGACGCGTCTCTGTGTGGAGTTTGTATGTCCCCCCCCCCCCGTTCTGCATAGGTTTCCTCCGTGTGCCCGGTTCATCCCATAGCTAAAAAAAACATACAATGCAACTGGTATTGGCCAAAACATTATGTCAATGTTGAAACATTATCTGGAAATTACTCAATGTGGATCACGCAGCACGGCCGCCTCCGACTGCGAACACTTGGCACGACCCTCCTAAAACAGTCTTGAGACGCAGTGAGGCTATCCTGGAAAACCAAGTAGACTGACTACAATCTCCCAGCCGTGGCATCGCTCGTGTTTATCCACCTTACCTTATCTACCGCACTCACGTGAGCCCTCGTATAGCCTTAAGAGACTGTTGGAACAAGTACCGGTTTGAAGGCCGGCACGGCACACAAGGAGAAGGATGGCCAGCACCACGCCCGACCGCCTTGTCTCCCTAATGGCGATGTTAACACACCGCACCAGATACTCACTTGAAGCCGAATCGATCTAGGGGAGGCCCAGGAGCGGTTCAAATAATCGTCACTGGTATTGGCGGGCGTGAGAGGAAATCGAACTCGGGTCGCCGAGTTTGTAGTGCAGCGTGCTAACCGCTACACCACGACTCCCGCTGTGCTCGGACCCCCACCCTTCATCCCGCACCCCTGTCTCCACTGCAGTCAGGGCCGTCTATAGGTGGGTGCGGGGCCTGACTCAAATCCCACAGTAG